CACGTGGCACTGATGAACACTGACATAAGGCACTGATGGACACTGACAGGTGGCACTGCTGAGGCTACACTGATCATCAGGGCACACTGATCATCAGTGCCCTGATGATCAGTGTACATGTCCCCTCCGCGGAAAGCCGATTACCGGCTCTCCTCTCCTCTGTCAGCGTGACAGCTCGAGAGGAGAGAAATGCCGATAACCGGCATTTCCCTGTTTACATGTGATCAGCTGTGATTGGACACAGCTGATTACATGACCGAGCCGACATCTTCGACTCTTTCCATGGACCGCCGATCGCCGCGCTGTGCGCTCCCTGAGCCACGCATGCGCAGTGAGAATGGGAGGACGTCGTATAACGTCCTACCAGAACAAGAGAACCAACTTGCGCCTGTCATATTACTATATGGCGGGCGGGAGGTGGTTAAAGAGGCATAATACGTGGAAAGAACATATTTATTTATTTAATTTTGAGTGTGAGTAAACCAGAATAGTGATTGCACCAATCGTTAACACTTTAATTTATCACTTTATCACTTTAATTAGAACATAGCAGTGCATATGTCTTTACCATTTACAATGCACATATAGTGTACACCAAATTAAAGCTCAATTGAACTTTCTGTATAAATCAGATAAATGAATTCCAGGTGCATCAAAACAAAAAGTGTGCAAAGCCTTACAGTTAATTTCCTTTATAAAGAAACCACAGCTTGAGTAGAAAAGCCTGTCCTCAGCCAGCATACTAAGGAAAAGGACACTAGCTCCCTGTGTGGAAACAGTAGTCTTTCTGCAGAGGTATGGCTCCTATTCAGCAGGCAGGCATATCAAGCCTCTACAGAGAGACTACTGCTTCCCCGCAGGGAGCACAGGGTCCATCTTTAAAGCATGCTGAAAGGGATCAAGCTTCTCCACTTATGTTGTGGTTGCTTTCTGAAGAAAATGAACTGTAAGACTTTGCATACCTTTTGTTTTGATGCAACCGGAATGGATTTAGTTGATTTACACTGAAATTTCAGTAAATATACTTCAAAGCCCAATTTTATGTAAAAATGCTTCTTCTTTTTATTTAACCCCTTGGCGCCAATGCCTTAAGGGGTTTTTGTTGCTGGGGCAGGCTTTAGGGTCATGTGACCACCATGATTGGCTGTCACATTGATCACATGATTGGAAATCTCCCGAACCACAAGTAACGATCGGGACCTTTCTCAGCACATCTTTTGTTTACATTTGATACACAAATATGCTGCCCCTCGGCACCAAAGCCCAGCGGCCGTGAGGCCACATATTTGCATGCACTTGGCGTCAAGGAGTTAACTCAGCAGCGAGGACAGTACTTTCATGTACTGGGGAGTTCTGGTGCCAGCTGTCCTGGTTGAAGTTTTTGTGTCTTCTGCCACTCTCATGCACCCCACAGCAGTAACTTTCCGGTGCTGCGGCGTTTATTACAGACACTGGAGCTCTTCTCAAGAGTGCTGACTATGCCTGCCCTTTGTTCCTCTTTCATTAAAGCTGTACTATAGTTTCTATCAATGAGAGAAGGATGGGTGGATGAATGAAAGGTCTGCTTGCATGCATAGATTGCTTTGCATTGGAAGAACCTATAGTACAGCTTCTACTGTATGAATGAAGGAGGTTGGTGGAAAGGGTTGGGCATAGTTGGCACTCCTGATGATGTGGCAGGTCCAGTGGCTGTAGTAAACCCTGCAGCACTGGAAGATTACTGCTGAGAGGGTGTGGGGGATGGGGAAAGGCAAAGGATGGAAGAGTTTTACTAGGACAACAGGCACCAGCTCAATGAGGGACACTTCTCATTTAATGTAAATAATATCCCTTGTGATGATTAAAAAAAAAAAACAAATTGCACTCTTATAAGTTACATTGTTCCCACCTCTCTCTAGGGCAGCCTCTCTCAACCAGGGGTGCCTTGGCAAAATGTCTAAAAGTTGCACAAAACATGTATACAAGCCAGAGGGTGGAAGAAGCCTGACTTTTACACAAAGCCTCAGGTTTTCATTGTGCGCCATTACAATCTTCTAGCCACCAAGCCTTCTGACAACCAATGACAATGACATTTTTAGTTGATAAGGAAGATGTCAGTTCCCTACACACCATCCTTCTTTGACCCTCCCCTGCCCCTCTCTGTCAGTGCTGGGGTCACATTAGCTTAGTGATGGAGAAAAACTGAGAGAAACACTGTAATACTAGTCAGGACCAGCATGCAAAAGTGTATCTGATTTGGAAGAATAAATTACCTCTAGCGTTGGGAGGCCATGTGTGGATGTTGCTGTGTTATATAAAATTATTAGAATACTTTTTACATTTTAGAATATGGTGCCTTGAAATTGTCTATAATTTTAAAGGGTGCCTTGACTGAAAAAAGGTTGAGAAACACTGCTCTAAGGACTACAGAACCCCTCTATGTTATGGTTAATGTACTCCTGTCCTAGGGTGACAACAGTCCTCTTCTATACAGTAAGGTAAGTGAGAATTGTCTCCCTAGGACCAGTATTGTGGTACTGGCAGGATTACTAGGTGAAAATATAAAGGAAAAATCAAAACAAATGCAACTACTACTACACCTAAGGATTGGCAAGCCACAATAAATTACATTTGTGTTCTTGGGTTTAGGTACACTTTAGGTCACTGCTCCCCCAAAGCATGCTTTACTCTAGTGCAGTGGTTCTCAACCTGTGGGTCGTGACCCCTTTGGGGGTCGAACAACCCTTTCATAGGGGTCGCCTGAGACCATTGGAAAACACATATTTCCGATGTGTAAAGAGCAGCTACTGTGTAGAAAGCAGCTGCTGTGTTGAATGCAGCTACTCTGTTAAAAGCAGCTACTGTGTTGAAAGCAGCAGTATTGGAGGTAAAACGACACTTCATGAATTATAATTACTGGGTAAATAATTTTATGGTTGGGGGTCACCACAACATGAGGAACTGTATTAAAGGGTCGTGGCATTAGGAAGGTTGAGAACCACTGCTCTAGTGACTTCAATGCTCCTACTACTGTCAGTAATGCACACACACACTATTCCAAGTGGAAAATGAACTGTAAGACTATGCATACCTTTTGTTTTGATGCAGCTGGGATGGATTTAGTTGATTTACACTTAAAGTGTAAATGCAAACTAATATGTTTTGCCTGTGGGAAGGATATAACACACCTAGAGGAAACCCTTAAAGTCCATGCACACAGATGCTATATTTTGTCTAAATGAAATAATGAAAAAATAAGGTTATTTTGGTTTTAATTCAACAATTTTAAGATTGAACTGTAATAATATTTGCTTTAGTATGTAACATGTTTTTAAAAATATTTTGTTTGTGAGCAGATATAAATGTGAAACCAGAAACAGCAATGTCACCACCTGGATATGCAGTATGGGAAAATTTGGTGAATCACGAGATTAGCTGGACAGAATTACAACTATTTTCAAGGTAAAACATTTCTTATATATGTATCTCCCTTGTGTATTCAGCTGTTTGCCAGCGTTTTTCCTTTAAAAACTAACAAAAGTTGGATTGATTTCAGCACTGTATATTAGAAAACTGTATCCATGGCAATTTACTCATTCTTTTTAATTGATCTCTAAACATAAAAGTGTTTTGATTTTTCTTTCTTCTGATACAAATTTCATATTGCCAAATTATCCTCCCGGCTTCATGTTGAATTCAGTATATTTATTGTTGTTTACCAACTGTAGGAGTCTCTCCATTAAGAAAATTGAAAAATTGGAGAAGAGCTTTATCTGTTAAGGTGCCATCAATGTTTTATTTCATAATACAGTGACAAGCTCTTGAGTTATTCCACTGAATAGAACATTAGTCTGATTTGAAAAGAAAATATTGTCAGGGGAGTACAGTAATGTATAGCAGACAGCTGCTGAGAAATACATATATATTCTTTTTATTGCACAGCAGCTAATAAAACTGTTGTACTATCTATGTTAAGGGACTATCTGCTAAGAGGGCAATAAGCTAGGCCATGATGACTCACCATCCGCTGGTAACTGGTTCGGGTTGTAATACAATACATAACAATAAATATCTGTAAACATGATTTGCTTTTTTTTAATACTTCATATTTCAGATTTTCTGTTGCTTTTCTGTATCCCAGCTGCATTCAACATAAAATAAGAACTTTGGACTAACAAAACTTTTCTATAGTTTTTTAAAGTGTAAACCCAAAACCTAAAATTAAATATACTGCATGTTTGCCCCATTTATATTAAAAGCATATTTATTTTTTAATTATTCTCTAGAAATCAAGTACATTTGAGCAAGTCAGTGTTGTGACTTCAGGGTCACAGCAGGGTAGCAATGCTTACCCACTGCCTTTCAAAGTAGCGGAGGTGTTGTCACCCCACCACGGGGCCATTGCTGTGGATCTATATACCATCAAGATGCCGCACAGTAGACATGTGAGATTTTTTTCGTTACAAATCGTAATTTGGACAAAATTGTCACTTTAAATTTTTTTTTTTGCAATAATTTATTTCAGATTAGTTGAAATTTGTGAACTATTGTGATTCGGAGATTTGGATACATCCAAATCTCTGAATCACAAATGTATCGAATTTCAACGAAACCAAAAAATTCTAACGAAAACAACAAATTCACTTGTATTCATTTGGTTGCAACTTCAGAGGATTTTGTAAGTTCAATATTATGTGTCACACTCTGTATTGTTATGATTGGCCAAAGCCAAATTTGCAAACCATTACTGTCATAAGCAAGTTGCATCGAAGTCGCAGGTACCGTATTTTTCGCTCCATAAGACGCACCTGACCTAGTAGGAAAACAAGAAAAAAAATATTCTGAACCAATGGGCTGCAGACTTAGTACAGGAAATGGCCAGAGACTGCAGACATACTGCAGGAGATGACCAGAGATTGCGGACATACTGCAGGAGATGACCAGAGATTGCGGACATACTGCAGGAGATGACCAGAGACTGTGGACACAGTACAGGAGATAACCAGAGACTGCGGACATAGTACAGGAGATGACCAGAGACTGAGGACATACTACAGGAGATGACCAGAGACTGCGAACACAGTACAGGAGATGACCAGAGACTGCAGACATAGTACAGGAGATGACCAAAGACTGCGGACACAATACAGGAGATGACCAGAGACTGCGGACACAGTACAGGAGATGACCAGAGACTGCAGACATAGTACAGGAGATAACCAGAGACTGCGGACATAGTACAGGAGATGACCAAAGACTGCAGACATAGTACAAGAGATGACCGGAGACTGAGGACACAGTACAGGAGATGACCAGAGACTGCGGACACAGTACAGCAGATGACCAGAGACTGCGGACACAGTACAGGAGATGACCAGAGACTGCGGACACAGTGCAGGTAATGACCAGAGACTGCGGACATAGTACAGGGGATGACCAGAGACTGTGGACACAGCACAGGAGATGACCAAACACTGTGGACCTTTGGGGAGCAGAGGAGGGGGGGGAGTGGGTACCCGAATTTGACAGGTACCCGTTTCCACTTCTGCGGAGCTGTCCTCCCTCCCTATCTTCTGGGACACGTGACAGGTCCCAGAAGACTGGCGGACCATTCACAAAATGCAGCACTTCTCATGCATGTGCAGTGGGCAACCAGCTGTGAAGCCGCAAGCTGTCACAGCCGGGTGCCAACACTAAAGATGCCAGCCCCGGGGGAGAAGACGGTGAGGACAGCGCTGTACCGAAGAACAGGTAGGACCGAGGAGTGGGGGCGGGAATTCTGGGCCGGCCGCTCTGTATTTGCTACATAAGACGCACAGACATTTCCCCCATTTTTGGGGGGAAAAAAAGTGCGTCTTATGGAGCACAAAATACAGTAATTCGCAAGTAAGACACAAGCAACCAAAGTACCATAAAGACATAACGATTCAATCCGAATCATCGAGACAACTTCTGAAAATATAAATCAATTTGGAACAACAAATATTCTAATCTAATCTGAGTATACAAAGTGGATTCTGAAAACGAATCAATCTAACATAGCGAATATGAACAAATGAAATGATTGACTTAACAAATGAAGATGAAACTAAACTACATTTTTCATCATGCACATCTCTACCCCACAGTTTGCCGATAGTCTCTGTTCTTTGTGCAAATCATCTATACCATTTATAAGAAGTGGTCTGGGGCATCTATTAGAATAGCTGGTCCAGCAAGGACTGCTTGAAGGTAAGGTCCAGAACCCAGTGGCGATGTCACTGGAAGTGGCATGCCACTGTGATTTCAAACCTGCCCGCAGCCCTTGCCATGCTCAGCGATAAGAAGCGGTAATGCGACTGTTAAAATCTGCAGGAAAAAGGTATGTTGGGCAAGATTTTATTACTTTTCATACAGGGTTTGATTCCTAGATAAGTACAGTGCACCCTTCAGGCTCCTACCTATTTGTCTCTACATCTACATGACTGATTTTCTCTAAAAATATATCCTATTAGCAACTTGTCTAAATGTATGAGGCATTGAAGGCTGGCATAGTGGTTTCTGTACATATTTTCTTTCTTTCCTTGTTAAGGTCAGGTTTAGAATAAAAGATGGCATATTAATGTCATGTAGTCTTTTATTAAGGCAGCAGGTAGTGCTCTACACTTCTTTCTACATGTGAAGTATTGTATCACTTAGCGATGCTGAAAAAAGCAGAACACACAGCAGTGATTCACTGCCATCAGAGAGTTTAGCTTGTGGTTTCAATCAGAGAAATGGAGCCTCAAAGTAAACTCTTCTGCTGCGTTGTCTCTTCAGCTATGAATGCAAGCGTATGATCCAAACTCACACGTTCCTGCGTTAAAAATGGCTGTGTATAAGTGGGCGGAACCAAATAGAATCAGCAAGGGAGAATGTCACCAGCACACCAAGGATCACCAATATGGGTCCAAATGTTTAATGAAAGATCACATAGTTACAGCAAGGCAAAGTTTCAAGTCTCGCAGGACCTCTTCATCAAGCATGTGGTCACATGCCTGATGAAGGGGTCCTGCGAGACTCCTAAAACGTTGCCTTGATGTAACTATGTGATCGTTCATTAAAAAATTTGGACCCATATTGGTGATCCTCGGTGTGCTGGTGCTGGTGGTGACATTTTCCCTTGTCTCTTCAGCTAACTCACTGCACTCTGGAATTGTATTGTGCCATGTATCAAATATTTATTTGTACATCATAAATCCAGGGGATAAACAACTCTCTAAAGAAATGAAAGAAAACAAACCCGAATTTGGTTTACTTTAGTCCTGTTGTACATATGACCAACTAGAACTTTTTTTTTATCTTAAGCTGCCACAGCTGTTTTTCATTTAGATTTTATTATGCTGTTTGATATAACCACAGATGTTAGTCTTTGACCGATTAAAAGACAACTACACGTTTCTTCTTTTGATCAATGTGTATTGTAGATATAAGCTCACTGTGATTCCTTTTTAAGGAACTGAGATGTACAAATGAAATGTGAATGCATAATTCATAATGCTAAAATTGCAGCTCTGGATGTAAAGGTTACAGTGAACTGCAAGTCAGTATAATGTAATTCCATTAGATCCTGCACTTACAGAACTAGAGGTGTAACTAGGGGAGGATTAGATCACACACCTACATTATTGGAGGTGTAACTAGGGGAGGATTAGATCCTGCATTTACATCACTGGAGGTGTAACTAGGGGAGGATTAGATCACACACCTACATTATTGGAGGTTGTAGGGGATTAGATCACACACACTACATTATTGGAGGTGTAACTAGGGGAGGATTAGATCCTGCACTTTACATCACTGGAGGTGTAACTAGGGGAGGATTAGATCACACACCTACATTATTGGAGGTGTAACTAGGGGAGGATTAGATCACACACCTCATTATTGGAGGTGTAACTAGGGGAGGATTAGATCCTGCATTTACATCACTAGGTGTAACTAGGGGAGGATTAGATCCTGCACACCTACATTATACAGGTGTAACTAAGGATTAGATCACACACCTACATCACTGGAGGTGTAACTAGGGGAGGATTAGATCACACACCTACATTATTGGAGGTGTAACTAGGGGATTTAGATCACACACTTACATTATTGTAGGTGTAACTAGGGAAGGATTAGATCCCACACTTACATCACTGGAGGTGTAACTAGGGGAGGATTAGATTTAACAATTACAGAAGTAGTTGCAGTAAAAGGAATTGACAAATTAATTCTCAGTCCATTATAAATTTACTGGAGAGTTATAGTATATGTGAACCCTCACCTTGTAAAACAAATCATACAATGTAAAATTGAAATGAAAGGTAAAACATTTTTCTATAATGTAGATATAAAAAAAATTAGAAATACCATTTTTCTCTTTTTTTAAAAAGTGATCACATACTATTTTGCTGCATAGAGATCTAGGGGAGGAGAAACAGCTGGACACTGGTCTTCACAGTGAATGACTGAGCAGAGTGGGGGGAAAGGGTGTGTGTCAGCACAAGTTTGATTATTGACAGAGAGCAGACTGAATTTCCAGCATGTTGTGCTTTCATGCCTAGTGTGGTCAGTTTTTAATAGGAAAGCACAGGGACTAACAGGAGCACTAAAGATTTCACAGAAAGTAAGCAATACAAAGACAAGAGGATACTTTTTCATAAAAGTATATGGTGTAGCAGGCACATCTCATGAATTTAAAATGTTGGGTTTACACATTCTTTAAATCACATGGCAATTTCTGATAACTCTCTGTTTGAGAGATCTCTGAATTCCTGGGTCTATACACTTGCTGTGGTCATTATGAGGGGGTCTCACTCTCCCTCTTGATTTTTTTGTGTATTTTATATTACACAGAGGTAGGTGGGAATACAAAACACTCTCAGGTAGACAGTGACACAGCTGGGAATTATGGAAGACCCTCATTGTTAGACTATCCATGTAATTAATAACAGAAGTGAGTTTAAGAAAGCTTCTTCTAATTATTATTTTTTTAACCAAAACTGACACTGTTTGGGGTGCCATTGCACGCAGGGGAGGAATAGGCTGTTGAAAATGGTGCAAGTAATATGCAATGGACCCAAAGTGTAGGGGGAAGGGCATTATCTGAAATTCGGTGCTGAAGGCACAGTAATCCCTAGGTTGTGTACAAATTCAATAAAGACTGAGAAGACGAGGCACCATCCTAATAAAGTGCCTACTATTTCTTGCTAGAGAGAAATAATGATCTTAAGTGCAGCATCCTCCTAATTAGTTTGTTAGGATTTGTATAGTTAGGTTAAGCATAGCTATATTTCTCTGCTTAGGCAAATTCAGAGTGCTGTGATTGATTAGTCAGGTCTGCACATGATGCTCTGGTGTTGTTTGGGTTTGTCTGAGTTTTTCCCACCTTCAGGAAGCTATGAGGATCTTCCAGAACATGGGTAGGGGCTAGGCAAATGAACAGCATGAATATATATGCAGCCCTGACCAATTGCAGAGGAGGATGACCCCATTGCATGCTGGGAGTGTTATTTATATTCTGGGAGCACATGGGCTCCGAGTCTTTTCCTGGAGTGGATTGCACCAAGCCAGGCTGGAGGCAAGCTGCCTCGCGTGGTACTTGCTGCCATGCGGCCTCAGGTGGGTAAACCTGAGGGCCTAAAGTTAGAGAAAGGGACCCTGGTTCTACAGAACGCTGGCGAAGGGGAGCTGTCTGCCAAAGATCTGTCTGGTATCACTGGTGAGAGTCGCTTGGAAGATTGGAAGGAGATAACCATTCTGTCCTTGGGCTGGTGAGTACAGGCATTAAGAGATCTTGGGGACCCTGTGTGCTTTGCTTCCCCTCTGGTGCTTGATAGTCAGCGTGAGTCTCAGAAAAGGAAACACAGGCTAGCGTTTTGAAGAGCTTGTCCAACAGAGCTACTGCAAAGGACTTTGCTCAGTTCTATAGCTTTTGGACTGCCAGTCTGAGGAAAAATGAAAAAGGTGCTACTGCGCTTATGGGTATAATCAATAATAAGAAATAACTATTTGCAGCAGTCTTAATTGTGAACTAATAAACACAACATCATAAGTGAATACCATATGGACCTCGCATAAATAGTGCAAAATATGAAAAACTCTGTGGCAATATATGAAAAGCAATATTGATACTGATATTAATTATTCAGTCTCAGTAAGTGAGAATAAAGTGCAAAGTGCTATAATTATTGATTGTGAACTCCGTGTACAGTAACAGGTGCTCCACTGTGCTCAGACTGGTGCCTCACATGGACTTACACTCACCATCATCCTGTGACCACCTATCTCTAGGATTGTCGTTTGCGCTTTTGGGACTATCCCAGTATGCAGTGTTGCTAATAGTAACTGGTTGTTCCTCCAAAAATGTTGTGTCAATACCAGCTCTCTCCTCTACTCCACAGGCAAAATAAGCAAGTAATCAGCATGTATAAAAAAAACAAAAATAGACATCCCATAGTATAAAACCGCTTTTACTTTAATAGTGGGGACATAACTGGAAGTATTAAACTCACAAAAAAGTGCACCTGGTGTATTCAGCCTTGTTGCTTGTGTGGTGAAAAAATGGCCACCGCTATGGTGGTTAATCTTCCAGGCGAACAATGAAAAAAATGGTGTTGCGCTCCCTGAATGGTATCTAAATAAACTAAATACAACCCATAAATATATACATTAATCCAATAATCTTATACATATAGACATAAATAATAACATGTGATACTTAGATCAATAAACATACGTGTGTAAACAAAAAACATCACATGATG